GGGAGGCAGAGGCAGGCAGATCTCTGTGAGTTCGAGGCCAGCCTGGTCTACAGAGTGAGTTCCAGGACAGCCAGGGCTACACAGAGAAACCCTGTCTCGAAAAAACAAAATAAAACCAAACCAAAAATAGCTGTGACTGTGATCACTTCTTGCTGGTGTCTCTCCTCTCCTCCCCTCCCCTCCTCTCTCTTCTCCTTCTCCCTTCCCTTCTCTCCCTCCTCCCTTCCTTCCTCTACTTCACTCTTTCTACAAATATTTGCTAAGTGTCCCTGTTCTGTGGGCACCGTGGACCTCGGCGTGCTGATGCCGATGTTTATGATGTAAGAAGCAATAAATGCACAATAAAATAAAAGCTTTAAAAGCCAGTTTCGTGAATCTATTATATAATTCCACTCTCGTAAATTCGTGTTTATTTATTCATATACTCGGACAGCAGTCAGGCAGTAAAGCGTTTAAAAGGTCAGGCACCAAGATGTCACTGGTTGGCCCTCTCTCGGTGACGGGACCGTAGATGACTGTCATTGCTTCAATTTCTTACTTTGCCTACACTGCCTGAGTCACCTGCGCTGAGTCTGGGCTTCTTGTATAACTTGGTGTTTGCAAAGTCAAGAACTCCTGACGTGTTAGGCTTTGAGCTCCCCCCTCCCCCAGCTTATTTTTTTGGTTTTGGTTTTTGTTTTTCGAGACAGGGTTTCTCTGTGCAGTTTTGGTGCCTTTCCTGGATCTCGCTCTCTAGACCAGGCTGGCCTCGAACTCACAGAGATCCGCCTGCCTCTGCCTCCCGAGTGCTGGGATTAAAGGCGTGCGCCACCACCGCCCTGCTCGAGCTTCCCTTTCTACCTTGTTTCCTGTCACTATTGGCCTGGCTGGCTCCATCTCAGTCAGTCACACAACTTCTCCGCTGGTCAGACATGTCAGGCTCCTTCCTACCTCAGGGCCTTCGGAGGCGCAGTTCCCTCTCCCTGGATCACTCTTTCCATCCCAGGGCCTTTGCCCATGCTGTTAGCTCTGCCCACATTTCTCTTCCTCAGGTCTTTGCTGAAATGTCCCCCCCCCCCCCCCCCCCCCCCCCCCCCCCCCCCGGCCCCACGCCAACTTAATCAAAATGAGTATGCCCTGTACCTCCTATGGGGTCTTCCTAAGCGCTTGCAGTTCTGGAGTTATCTTGACTCTTGTTCATTTTCCTCTTTGCCTGAACATGAGTGTGTGTACTCAGGGACCTTGTGTTCTTGGCACCTGGAACCAAACCTGGCACATCACAAGAAATCAGTAAATATTTGTTGGATGAACAAATTCTGGGGAATAAATATTAAAAAAGGAAAGAGTTGTTTTAGAGTTTTTTGTTTTTGTTTTTAAGACACCTGCTTTTCCTGCTTGGCGGGGCACTTGTCTGGGATGGGTGGCCTCTAACCAAAAGGCCCTTTCTTCACTCTTCCCTTTGTGACCTTGCTAGCGACCCCGAATGGGTGTCAAGGTCACAGATTCTCAGACTGCAGAGTGTTAAATGATGGGTGACTACGGGCTGGTTAGGAGTTTGGTTGGTCGGTGGCCCGTGTGCTGTGTGACCCCTGTCAGGTCGCTTCTCCTTTCTGGGGAGCAGTTTTCGCTGCTGGGAGGGAGGGAGGGAGGGAGGGAGGGAGG